ACCAAGCAATTTCAATGGAATTTAAGTTGGACAAGACATGGGAGAAAAAATTGAAATAAAATTGATTAAATTGTTTGCAGTTTAGCCAGTAAATTCAATAGATGCCTCAACCCATTTTCCTTCTCACTATCAGCCGGGAAAATTATGAAAAAACGATTTTGCGGCAAAAGCTGCAGGGGGCGGGATTGCAAATAGGGCTCTTGCCACATCGTTGGTTTTTATGGTTTCGCGCACGCACAGAACTTTTGCGAGAACAGGCAGCACCAACAGCAAACAACCAATAAGACCAACAGTAACTACAACAAGGGCAGTAAAAAATAGCCAACAAAATCAAAAACAACATCTACAACTTTCTCTCTTGCAAAGTTGGCAGCTTAGTTACTAGAAAATGTTTATTATGTAATGGTTGATAATGGGGGCTCACGCATTTTATACCCTTTAAATAAAATTGTAAATAATCTGTGTAATATAACTAATTTTTATTTTTTCCAAATATTCGTTTTATTGACAAACCAGTATTTAAATCTATTTTACCAGTTTGAGTAAGGTCAATATTTTTCTTTGAAACTCTAGTTGTAGGTTTTTATTTCGTCGTCATCATTTTTTGCACCTGATAATTGCAGCACTTTGCACACTAGCAACATTACCGGCAGCAATTGAATTTGAGGCTTTCTCCATTATTCTGAAACAGCAAACTTCTAACCAAACTTTTCGAGATGGGCTACCGTGAACCGCAGGCTCTCCCAATCCAATTGGTGGTTAAAGCCTGCCCAGGCGAACGAAAATGTATGCAGGCCAAATCAGAAAATGAAAATGACTTTCATTTGGGGAAGGACTAAAGAGGGAAGAGAGCAAGTATATTCAGGCCGAGTGCAACATTAAGTGGCACATAATTGCTTAATCTCTGCGGCTCTTACACGACATTGTAATAATTTATTTGACAGCCCCCGCTTTTCCCTTTTGTGCGTCCAGAGACATGAAAATTAAAACGAAAATTTTTCAGAACCGAGACAACGACGACGTCAAGGCAAATTATGCAGTCAGCATGTCCCCGGGCAGAACTGCAAAAAAAGGGGTTAACAACACAACGATTTTCCCCTTTTTTTTTGGGTGTGGGTCAGTGTAGAGGATTAATTGTTAGCCCAGGAACGGCTGCTAGTCGGAATGAATCAAAATGGAGCTCTGGGCCAGGTCTCCGGCCACCAAGGACAGAAATATGCAGTTTCAAATTCGTTGGTTACCCATTTTGTAAAAGGAAATTATAACTAAATAAATTGTTTGGCTTAACTTGAAATTTATTTCAGGCATAAATGAATAATATTTTAACTCTCATACAAAAACAGATTGTTGACTGTTTGTAACCAATAGTAACTTTAATCAACTATAATTTTTTTGACTTATATTAATGTTGCACATATTTTGGCCTTTCCCAAAGCTTACACCAAAATTCCTGTTGAAACCATTTGACATAAAATAATAATATAATCATCAACCCAATTGACAAGTTCTTAGCCTCAAGTTGAATGTCAATTTAGGCATTATCACTAATTATGCTTACATCGACGAAAGGAAACAATGGCACTTATGCCCATACATATATAACATATACCTATATCCTCCCACATCACTGTGAATAAATTTACACCTAATCAATGTAATATTGAAATGAAGTTGACAGACGTGCAAACATACACACCCTTGCAGTAACAGGATGTCTTCAGTTTACAGTTACTTATCCCCATGAGAGTGAAATCGTTAGTGTGTGAGTGCTTTACAAATATGCTGCATAATTACGAGCGCATTTGGAAAGATTAATGGATTTTAATTAGAAAATGAGCAAATAGCCAGCTGGAATCTTTGGCATTCCTGACCATAAATTTACCCAGCTGCGTGATTGATTGATTGACCAGTGCTCTATCATCATAAAGCCAAATAAATGGTATTTAATGCCGACCATTACCGTTCATTTGGATTCCAACTTGTGGTTTAAGGTGGCAAATGTCTTCAATTCTTATTGAGTTCTTTTCCATCCCATTATCCATTATCTATAATTTATTCCGCCATTTATACACTGCTGTAGTATAAAAACATGTCTGTACATATACATATATACATATAAGGAGTATAACTCTCGATCCAATTAAAGCAATACAAATTTTAATTTTAGTTTTAATATAACATTTAATATAAATTAAAATTACAAAAACAACTTTTAACAACAAATAAATCTTTTTAAGAATTTTAACACGTCAAATTGGCTTTTAAATAATTATAGTACGTCAAAACTTTTCCAAGTTATCTCTAAATTATATGATGCGTACTTATAGTGTAAAATTGTCAGCCTTTCCACATTTTCGCAGTGCTGAGCCGCCCACAATATTATTTTAAACGCATTTTCCGGTGCTCTGCATGTGACAAGCGGCTGCCTAAGGCGTTTATCTGTGTAACATGATGATATCGCTTTTTGCCATTTCCCATTTTTGACGTGGGTGTGGCCCACACACAAACGCACACACACACACACTTAGCGAGTGCGGACAGGAGCATAAAATATGCAACCAACGCTGCCGTTGCACTTTTGAAATATCGTTTCGAGTGTGTGTCGCGTTTATTTACCCAAACCGAACTCTCAACGGAGTTGAAAAACATTCCAACCCAACTCCCCTTTAAAAAGTAGCAAGCAATATGGTAAAAAAAAAAGCATGTTCATATTTTCAATATGATGCCGTGTCAATAACAGTTACCAGTATATTACCAGACTTCTCACCGGCGTCCTCCCCACACACCTATGTTTTAAAGCCAGTAAGGTTTCCAATCGATGCATCGATGTTTTCCCAGGAGTTCCAATTCAGGATTTTCTGCTGCTAGTTGGTATCCGTAGTGAAAATAATCTGTACTAGTATTCATAATAGATCACGGTCTTAATGAGCTCGGGGAATTTACTCTGGTGATGAACAGATTTGTTGTCTAATTGTTCAGTTAATCCGACAGGAAAGTTATAAATAATGTAATGCGTACCCTTCGTTAAAATTTTTGTGTTTAGTGTATTCAAAAATACATTGCAGGTGTAATCAATGCAGCCAGCTAAGAATGGGTATATCGTAATCATCTACTTCGATTGACAATGTCAAGTTGACAGTCAACAGAATCTTAAAAAGGACATCGTAAAAAGTGAGAAAAACAGTGGATCCACAGCTGCAGGTTTGGTTACCGTAGGACCTTCTGTAGGGTTTCCCGCCTTCTTCTATTTTTCACGTCCAGCCCTTTTCCCAAACGACTGCCGCTTGTCAGCCACAAAGTGAAAAACGCTACAGGCGCCAAATATTTCACGGTAAAACTGCAGGCACCAACGAACACCCACGAAGAGAAGAAGTGTTTGGATCTTGGGTGGACTTACACCGTTGCAGTGAAAACACTAAAGGGAATTACAAATGTCTGCTCAACATAAAATTTTTATATTTTATAAACTAGCTGAAAAGGAAATTAACAAACATAGAAAATGTTTACAACACATAAAGGTCAAGAAGTAAGATAAATAAATTTACAAAAGACTAATAGTAAAAAAAACCAAACAGTTAAAAACAGGTTCTGATAGTTACAGTCTGTCAAAAGTAAATTTCTTGTAGTGTAGTTTTGTTTGTTTGCATCGCCTAAACAGTTCTCACCAAGGATAGCAAACAGGAAAAACTAGAGAAACGGAGGATGCAAGATTTTTTGGTTGGCAGCCAAAAGAAAAGCGCAACACAAATACGCATATCAAATTTCTTGCCAGAGCAAACAGAAGTCTGAGAAAAGCCGAGAGCCGAATCGAGAGAGAAAGTGTGTGAATCCAGGACATGCCAAAAAAAAAAAAATGGGTGACACTCACACCCACACAAGAGTTGTATTTAAATGTGTGTGTGCCGCACTCAAAGGACTTTTGACTTTGCGTGCAACTGAGCATATGAGCGTGATTTCTGCATTTGAGCTTTGCTGGGCATCAACGAAAGCGAGGCGAGGGGATTCAAAGGATGCCCAAGGCTTGACTGTCCAGTTTGGAATCCCCCCTTTTCTTCGCCCTTTTTCCCTTGAACACTTTTCCGGGCTGCAAAAAAAGCCTGCTGAAATTTCAAGCACTTTTGACACTTTTGCGTACACAGAAAGAATAAATCCTTACCTTTTTCCCATATTCAATTTATTTTGAGATTTTCATACTTACTTATAGGATTTGTAAAAAAAACAACATTCAATATAAAACTAGATATTGGTTAGTTTGGTTTAAGAAATTTTAAATTTTTTTTTAACTGGGTCTTAAAAATTAAAATAATTTTTTTTTATTTGTTCTGGAAGCTCCTCCGCTTGTGAACAAATACAGGAAAAGAGGAAAAGTACTGGGAACACCTCTGATCCCAGGAACCCAACGTTTGGCGTAGTCTTACACAAAGATTTACGTACAAAATGTTGGCATAAAGTGCGCCAAAGTGGAATTGCATTTCATATGTAACTTGAGTATGCTCTTTTGTTAACACGATGGCGATGCTGATGATTTGGCCGATGATGAAAATGATGATGATGATGATGCCGAGCCACGCCCAGGCATTTTGCACTTGTCGGCCTTTCCCAACTCCCCAAATCCACTCTTTGGGAATTTTTAACCAGGCATAACTCTGGCCCACACACACAGACGTAAAAGTGGTTTGTACGATACTCAAAATACAGTTGATTGTTGCATTGGTCGATGTCAAAGGACAGTTTTGCAGCCTTAAAGTGTTAAAAAAATGCAAATAAAATTCCGACTCTTGGAATGCCAGACATTTTTTTTGTTGGCAGGGAAAATTATTATTAATGGTTGCATCTCTGTCTACGAAATATTTTAAGTTATTTCTTTAAAAATGAAATGTGTTAAGAACTATTTTGATTGCCAGGATTAATTTAAGATTTCTGTATCATATTTTTGTCAAACAGAAGCCAAATGCGATTATTTAAAACTTCATACATTTTAAATTACTCTCTTGGTGATGTAAAATCAGAGTCCTTTTAATTTAATAACAATCCAATAATTGATTAATTTCCATTTTTTCTGCATATAACAGTCTTTAAATGCTTTATCATTTTAGTATGATAAATGCAGCTAAATAATGCGGTAGTCTAGACTATCCTTCAAACTTAAGCTCGGCATTCTCCACTCTCTCTCATCTTTCCACTTTCGTCCTTGTTTGTGCATTAACCCTTGGACTTAGCAGACTCCTTTGGACACCTTGGAAGTTTCTACCTTTTTTCCCCCTTTGTGTGTGTGTGAGTTTGTATAGAGGAGGCGACGTAATTACGGCAAACGGACGCCGGGAGGCACCGCCCACTACCATTCCACACCCACTCTTACATTTTTCAGCACTTAAGTGGCCTTTAACACCTGCTGATGCTGCTTGTTGCAGGTGCAACATTGTTGCAGTTGTTGCTTGTGTCATGTCCTCTGTATTCTCTGTCCTGTTTGTTGCAGCCATTAGTGGCACACTGAAAAGTTAGAAGAAATGTGGCACAATTACATTTGCATTTACTATTTCTTATTGGAATATTTAAATATTTTGTTCAAGTTTTTCTAAAACGTATACCAAAATAATCGAAGAATAAAAAAAATGTTTTCTTATTATAAATGTTAAAAAAACAGGATTAGGAAATATTTTCGGTGCAGTACAAAATCCAAAGCAAGCGCTACGTGACCATAAATAAAATTGACAAATGTGGTTTGGGTTTTTTTCTGGTTTTTAGGTTGGTAATATTTCCTGGATTGCCAACCGCACTTCGTGCGAAATTCGCTAAATTAAGTTTGCTTTTGCTGGGGAAAAAAATTGTTATGCAAATTGTGGTACGAAATATTTTAGCAAATTATGTATTCTATATCGCGATTAGCTTAAGGCACCTCAATTAGTTGAAATGTAAATCGCTCGAAAGGAGAACCTCAAAGCGAAAGAAGAAAAATCGAGAGTAGATAGCGATTGGATTATCGTTTTCATTATCATTCCTTTTTTTTGGTAGCAGCGAAGTGAGTGGAATTTTTGATTTTGCCTGCAGCGAATTGTAAGTACATTCGATAATCGCCCAGCTTTTGTTTAAAGCTTACATAACATTTAATTTGATTGCTGCATACGCTCAGACGCTCAAATGCCCATGAAAACATATTGAGCAGCAGCAACAAAGGCAGCAGCAGCACCCATAAAAGGCTGTTTTATTAACTTCCCATCTGAACGCAAACGTAGTTGGAGTTTTGAGTGGGCGGAAAATCGGGGGAGGAACTCAGGCGGACGGAGAGCCTCCGGCAATACAACAAACGGCAGGAAACAAAGTGGCCTATAAGCACATCAGCCAACAGAAGCAAACACTGAAACGGCAATTCGTTCAGGTGACAAATGTTTCAAGTTCAACTTAAAGGGCAGCAATGTGCTGACTTCTCCCAGAAGATTTGTGAAGATAAAAAATATTAGATAATATCCATGGTTAACCAGATTAAATAAAACAAATCAATTTGCTCTAGATATTAAAAAAAATGCTTTGACATTTAAAAATAAGAATTCTTGATTTGAAAATAAAGTCGTGGAGTACATTAGATGTCACATTGAAAACTTTTGTCGGATGTCATATTTTCCAACGCATGGACGACAATCAGATACTTGCACATATTCAGACATCCACACACAACACACACACAGATAGCTATGAGCACATACAATTCAATTTCCTCAAAATGTTGTATTTATTATTTCCTCATTGCATTTGGCGATGACGTCGACGCCGGAGTTAGTCCGTAAATCGGAACAGTTAAACAACCGAGTGGTGGAAACGGGAGGAATAAGGCAACAGGAGCGGCATACACACATACAATTATAGTCAAAACAATAGCACCAAATTATACAGCCACAAATCAAAATTAAAAACATAAAGTCACACTATTTATATTTGCATCATCAGGAAACAGGAAAAACCAAATTTAAGCTTGAAATATTTGCCATGAAAAAGTTTTTAAAAATTTTATAAAAATGTTTGTAAAAATTCTTTTTACTGCCGGAATAACTATTTTTTTTTAAAGAATACATACTCTACCATCTTTTTAGCCTAAACTGTTTTTATACATTTTGACAATATTGTTGGCATACAAAAGGCAACATCCGAGCAGGTAGGAAGACAGGCGCAGCCATATGACAGAGGCGTCGGAAAAGGGGATTTCGAGGGCGAATAAAGGAGCGCAGGAGAGGGGTTGGGGCGAGAAGGAAGTATGAAGATCCTGTGTGCAGGCTTTCATGCTTTAAACAATGCGATAAAATGGTATTAGTCACGTTAAATTGAATTTATTTAAGCGCGCTTTTAGGCGCATCAGCAGGCAAGGCGCTTTTAAGCTCTCTGCCTCTTTCTTCCCCTTCTCGCTTTCTCTTTCTCTCGCACCATCTTTATGTGTTGGTTGTCTGTGTTTCAGTATGCGAGTGTTTGTTTTGTATTTGTATGCGAGAGTTAAGCCTCATTGTCAGCATATCCTTTGAGTGTTTTATGTTGCAACAGAGCTTGCTGGCTTCAATTGCTACCTGAGCTTATCTCCCTGTCGTGCTATCTCCCTCTCCCTTTATGCTCCGCTCTACATTTCCCTCCCTTTCTGCCTCTCTATTAAATACGAAAATTATGCAAATTATGCGGCCTTATTAGATTTATTTGTGGCATTCAGGAATATGTGTGTGCGAGCACTGGCTTTTTCCCGCTTTTCTCTGTTTTAAGTAACTCCCACAGGGATATAGGTATAGTGTTGGGGTAATACGAGAATGAGACAAAAGATAACAGGCTCGGTGTGCGAAAGAGACGGGTGTCAGGGTGCGAATGGGACGGCGGGTGTTTGCTGGCTATTGGAGAGCCGGGAAATGATTTACGCGCTCCGACTGCGACCAACAACGCTTATGAGACAGTGAATTATGACTGCCGGTGGCGGTGACATTCGTTTGGGGGCGTGGTAGGTGGGCGGTGGAGAATGGGAATGGTAAACAAAAGAGAATGGGCATTAACCATAGTCGAATTTATTTATTTAAAGGTTTTTCCTCGGGATCGTAAACGTATTAAGTTTTTTGTAAAAAAAAATATAGTGCAGCCATAGTTATCAAATTTAATATATTCGCTTTTAAATTAAAACAAAATCTATAGGGTTTATAGAGTGACTTTTTGGTTAATTTACTTAATTTAAATTAGGTAAAGTTTCTACTTTTCAACATTTTTCTAGAAATATATTCTCGGTAAAGCAAATATTCCAACTTTAAATTTTAAGGCCAAAAAGGACTGTAATTCCTTGACTTCCACTTACATCTATGCAAATAATTCTCTTGAAATTTATGCAGCCCCGACAAAGGAACATCCCAGATGAAAATCCCACAAAAAAAATGTGTTGATCAAGTGCAAATGCCCAACACAGCCACTAAACCATCGCAACACATATGCACATGTGCGTATTGTAAAGCGGAAAATGCAATTGAAAGGGGCGAAAAACGGAAACAACAGTAAAAAAGGATTAAGCCATGTTGTAATTGTTTTGGTCTGCATCGGCTTTTGTCTCTGTCTGCCCTCGCTCTCTCTCTCTCTCTCTCACTCTGTTGCTGATGTTGCTTTTGCATAAATATTTAAAATTTAATTGAAATTGTGTTTGTTGTAAACTATCGAGGGGGTCAGGTGGGCTTTGGGTTTCTGGGGTTCGCTGGAGATCAAAAGACAAGCGTTTGGCAGCTGTGGAAATCAACGCCCGAGAGCTTGCCATACACTGAGGGAAATATGGTGGTTTTTCGACCCCCTGGGGCTCCAAAAAAGATGCGGTTGGCGAGGGGGGAAGGTCCTCCGTTATCGTTTTCAGCGAGCAGCGATTCCTGCTCGTTTGCCAGCATGATGGTAAAAACAGGGTGAGACGGCGTAACAGGAGGAGTTTTCAAAAAGAAAAAAAGAGGTCCCAAAATGAAAATAAAACAAAGTAACTTGTAAAGAGTTAAAAAATAGTTTTCTTAAAATTAATTAAAATATAACAAAAGATAACATTTACTAAAACAAATATATAAAAGTAATGGTAACCATTTATATTCTCTGGATTTTTTCTAAGTTTATCGTTGATATGAATGTTTTTGCTTTCATCCCTAAAACTTAGCTAAGCCTGTATATTGCTCATTTGGGGGCCTTTACCCGCCCACATGCCCTTCCTTTTCGGGAGCAGGCAAAGTCGGATGACTGCCGTCGCTTTTGGTCTTGCTTTTAGCTCTGCTGCTGCATGCCGGGTCCTGCAACACACAGTGCGTATGCGTTATATGGCTTGTTATTTATCTGCAGCTCATTGCTCTTGGGGCCGTCGCTGCTATCCACGGCACTGCGATGCCAATAAACAGGACCCAAAGAGTCCGAGGCAATGCTGTCCGAAACGGAATTCCAACGGAGGTGGGCGGACGGGCGGTAGAAGGGGGCGTGGCTGGATAGCGGCACTCAAGGGCGTTTAATTGAATGTACGTGACACGGCACGAACCCTGAATGGATCGGCTTCGAACGGAACGCCGCCGTAGACACATTAACAGTGGCAGTGTGTCTGACCCACCTTAACATCGTTTTATTGTTGCTGCAGTGCAGGTTGCAGGTTGCTGGCTGCAGGTTTCTGGCTGCAGGTTGTCGCTATGCCTGCTGCATGTTGCTGCCGTGCCCGCTGCTCCTTCTGCCGGTCATAAATCAATGCAAATTACACTTGCCAATGCTCCTCTCACCCCCTTGCATTTTCTCCTCACCAGCTTTGCTGGGAGCTTAACACATGCTTCTTTGGGGAGTTGGCGGTTTTACGAGATGATCCTGAGCAGTAATGAAGGTGTCATACAAGGAACTTATAAACAATAAAAAGCCATTTATCGAAATAAATACAATGATATTGCACTAAAAACAAGGAATAAACGTTATGTAGCCCGTTTTAACTAAGAAAACCCTTTAGGATTTTGTACGCCCAAAACCAATAATTGTAGTGGTAATTATAGGTATATTACAACATAATAAATTATTAAAAACCCATTGATCCACCCTCGCCTTTTGGTCTCCTGCCCTTCTGCTATGATAATTTTTCAACACAACTCGTACTATTTTGCATTTTAATCACTCACTCAAAGAATGCTTACATTGATATAATCTTTTCGGTGGCCCCGGCTGGTCCTTGGAATCCCTTTCGGAATCCCGGTTGTCTCCCTGTGTGTGCACATGCTGATGCAAATATGCTTCGAATGCAAAAGTGTGTGTGAGAACGAGTGCAATTCCCATGCATGTTCAACATGATTAATTTCTGTAATAACTCGATTGGAATCACGCGCCAGCAGCAACTTTTCCATCACGCATTCCACAAACATACACACACCAATCCACCATTTACACACATATACATAATGCAAATGTGTGCGAGTGTGGCTCCCTGGTGGCCACATGCACGTCCCGTTTTTCGCCGGATACGTGAGGACGATCGCCAGTCATGGTCATAACCAAAAAGGATACCACAAGAATCCAGTGTCTCATATTTAAAGATTTCATTGTACGCCTTAAAGATGATTTGCTTGCCTTATTTACTTGACAACAAATTATTATTATTACTACACATTTTATCCATGGAACAGTTATATATCAAAAATTAAAATAAAGACTTAAGGTAATTTGGAGAGGAGCCTTTCTATTCATTAATTATATTTTTTTGTTTTTTTTATACTACATTTTTGTAATATATTACGTCATTATTTTGACTACGCCCATGGAAAACGAGATTGTGTTCCTTTTCTCCGTTCTGTGGCGGCATTTAGCATTTGACTGCAGCCAGTCAAGCGTGCAGAGGTGGTGGAAAAAGAGGGTAAAAGGGGGTGCAAATGGAGCTTCAGGAGGAGATATTTCCCCATGCTCCAGTTAAATCATTTGCATCCTGCTCCGGTCCCCAATGCCAGTAACACCCACCCATCATGCAGTTCAATAAGTTTTAATGCACTTAATTAATTCCCTCTGCGCTCGAGAGAGAGAGAGAAAAAACAGAGTGCAAAAGAGATGCCAACATTTGCCAGTTCAAATTGGATTTGAAAAATATTTCTTTTGCTCTTGCTGGAGTTTGTCAACAACATTAGCATTCCTTGCACTCAGATCAACTCCACCACTCTGTCTGTTTACCTAATTTAAGTTATTCTAATTCAATTAGTTCATCGTCTAATTAATCGTATTCGTTAGAGTTGCCATCCTGCAGTTCCTCTGTCTCTTCCTCGTGTTCTAGTCAAATGGAAAATGCAATTTAGTTGAGTAAATATGGAATTGCATGATGGAGAGGATGCATGTGTAGATTCAGACGATTGCCGGATGTTTG